TTGTAGACTGATTAACTAGAAGAAAAACTTGGAAAACAGACCAATCAAACACTTACAGGGGATTTGAAAAGTCAAACACAATAATCCCATGCTTTACTTTTAGAGTTAGAAATAATAAATTCTTAACTTTTGTTGTATTGTATTATTTCAAAGAATCCTACATCCTAGGCCTTCCTGTATTAATTTTTTTAAAACCTGAAACCATATTTTTGTCTACACAATGGCATCAAATATAGACAACAATTAAGTTCTTACACTTAAGACTGGTGGAAAGTACATATTGTTAGAGAGACAAAAAAAGCAGTATGCTGGTGTATCTAACACCATTTTTGAAAAGCCTAGATGATAGATCTCTTAGAATAGTAACTTAAAAGGATTTCATTAAAAGCATACATACAAAATTATAATGTGTAATTAAAATGGCAAGTTACGCCTAATTTGTGGTATCTTCCTACTTCAGTCACAGCAGAGAGACAAAATATATAGCACACACATAAACACATGAAGATGCCACACAAGGAAGAACAGAAATATGCATGCACACATGCATATACACATATACACAGTGGAATGGAACACATTTCAGAAGGAAAGACACTTCTTTTATGACCACTGCAGGCAAAGAGCTTGGAAAGAATTTCAGAAGTCATTGTCTGTATACTTTCTCTAGCTTGTTTTTTTAGTCTCTTCTGCCTTGTCCTGTCCCTATTCCCCAAAGATTGCCCAGCAGGCTAAGACAAATTACATCTGCCAGATTTCTGAATTAATGGCTTATAGGAGACTTTTGAAATTAGCTCTCATACAACCCTAACAATACAGGTTGCCAATCTTGATTTATTGTTGTCCTATAATTCATCAATTATATTCTTAATGCTAGTCTTTGGTATAAATTCTTCCCTTTGGGTAATATTCAGTTCGGTAAAATATCCAATAATATTTTAATATGAGTTAAAATGAAATATCTCCAAAAAGATAATTCTACATCTATGCGTATTTTGAAATGCCAATCAAAACAGTGAAGGTTTATCCACGTAAGGACAGTCATCAATGTTATACATAATTTCTATAATATTCCTACAAAACTTAAAAACCTATGACATGTATAAAACACAATTGAAATACAAAATCATTCTCAGGTGAGTATCAAGTCTAGACTAAAAGACAAATATATGGAATTCAAGAACTGGAAGGTCTAATTACCTATGCCATATCCCAGTATTCCACAGAAGAACAATTTCAGACTATCTGGAAAGATTTTAATTGAAGATACTGAAACAAAATCTCACTTATTTTTAATTTTGCCCAGCACCAGCTATCTGACCATTGTTAAAAAATATTGTAGGCATCTGGTAAATAAAATGATGAAAATGAGGCCTTGCTTGGTTAGCTGAGAAGAGGTTGATTTTCTGCAAGTCATCCAGATTCCTAGGACTGTTAACGCAGCAATGTACTTATTAGATCCTTTCCTGGATAGTGAAGGCTGCTTGCGAATATGTGGTTGGATCCATCATTGGTCCGTATCGCCTTCCTTAAAGAAGAAAGTGATTTCAATGAGAAAAAAAAATATTCAGTCTCCAATTTCCACTTTTATTAACCCTGTAGGTGTCCAAGTTGTTCTGGACTGAGGAAAATATATATAAAAAAAGAATGAATAAATAAATAAATAAATTATTGAGAAATTTCAGAGGTTGTCTCATAAAAATGTATACTGTTATTTCTTTCAGATTTTGAATATCTCCCTTTTATGATCCTGTAATTCCTTAATTCGGGGTAGAGTCGAGGCAACAATTATTATTTAATATTTTGAATATAAATACAAAACTGTTGCATTCTAATCTAAGGTGACACAGTGCTTTGTATTAAAATTCATTGCAATTAAAATTTATTTTCTACCACTAATGTATCAAAATAATACTGTTGATACCTTATGCAGATCCGTCTTCCTACACACACCTGTTCTTTTTGAGTACATGTCAGCTGAAGAATTTCTAATTCAAGTAATCTAATCAACCAAGTCTTTTGTCCATTTCAAAAATCTGGATTAGCTTCAAAGGAACTGGATCACCACATACTGTACCTTACTTTTTGAGAACCTCACCAGTTTCTGACCTTTTAACTTAGCATGCTTTAAAAAAAAATTGAGCTGTTTTATGATCTCCTTAGTTTGCATATAAAACTTCCAGAAAAAAAAAGTAATAGAATATAAGATTTTTTTTAAGCTTCAGTTGTGTTCAATGCATTCCTGGTGACACTAATTTTTCTTCCACTCTTGACTTATAGTGGTGGGTGTTATTGAAATCATGTTTGAAAATTCTGCCTGCTCTATGTGTAATACCACCCACAGTTACTGTAAGTACGATCTAGAAATAATATCTTACCCGGTACAGAAAATTGCCTGTAGGGTAGACCATAGCATCTTTCCCTTGGTTTTTCTAGGGAGTGGTGACAAGCAGAGCATCCAGAAGTTAATGAAAGGAGAAGGAGAGTAGTGTATCAGTAGCTGTTAACAAGTATGACTTGGCTGCTTCAGCTCAGCATGCTTTCTATCTTCCTAAAGCCAGGATTATCTTGTACTTAGAGGCCAGCCCAGTTCAGAGTGTCATCCATTTGGATATTGCTCTTCCCAATATGGATTATTCATTGAGGTTCCCAGATCACCCCTTCACCAATGGAGAAGATTTTTAAAAAGGCTTCCCAGTATAATAGTCTTAAAATGATTGCCTTCAAAAGGTCTTCTTCCATTTGCATTCAGTTTGATGATATTTATAATTCTTTCAACAGGACGTCTATATATTCGTTTCATTTTTGTACAGTGGTTTTATTCCTATAAGTAGCATTAACATTAAGCATGAAAAAATGTCATATCTGTAAGCTGAGGAGGGAGTAAGAGGAGGAGGATTTTTCGTGTACATCTCCCTGTAATAACAGTCTTCATAATGAAAGTCTTCTTCCAAAACTTTTCCTCTTGTATAAGCTTCAAAATGCAGAATTAAGATTACAGAGGTGAGTATCTCTTACTTGTAAAGAAGGGCAGTTCTGAACAAATTGAGTGTTTTATTATGCAGATTGATATGACAATTGGAGAATTGTTTTTTTGGAAGTGAAACTTTAAGTTTATTTATTACATTGAAGCATATACTGTATTAGGAAAAACTGTATGTAAAAATAATGCAGAAAGTTGATAGAATGGACAAGTATCAATATAAGAAAGTGACTTGGAATAGACTGTCTCATCATTGTTATTCAGATGATGGATGAAATCATCTTACTCTTTACAGTAATAGCTCTTGGATAGCTCATTGACCATGGTTGCTGAAAAGAGACAGTGCAGTGTTTCTTGCCAATTTAAAGTGGATATGATTAAAAAATATACTCAATATTAGTTAGTACTACTAATAGTTGATATGAATTAGATATTTGGAGGTGGAAAATACTTAAAAAGTAATATTAAAAATCTATTTCAGGGAGGGAGGGTCCATTATCTGACCCGATTTCCTTTGGAGTCTCTCACTTCAAGTGCAATTCTTAGCCAGCAAAAGGTTGCCAATCTCCAGTTTGCAAGATTCATTTCATGTGCTGCTAAATTAATTCTAAACTTTTTATTGGGTTACACAAAATTTACTATGGTCAGAAGGCTTACAAAGTTATGTAAGAGAATTCCAGAACGTGTGAAAATGTATTCCATTTAACAAATGAATTTGAATTTAACATCTGTAACTCAAAATCTGTAATGCAAGTGCATACATGAGAAAAATCAGCCTACTTGGCAGCTGCTACTCCTAATTTTAAGCGATTTCAAAATGTGACTGGAAAGGACAGCATCTATTTAGGAATGATCAGATATTGTCATTGATAGAACTCCTGGATTTGTTTTGACATGCATGTTTATACACCTGCAATTGCCAAATTTTTTAACCCACCATACATGGAAGAGCATGTCTCCAGAGGAAATCAAGTAGAACTATATTGCTGAAGGGGGAAGGCAAACAACATGAAGGCTGAGAGGGAAGGTGAACAACTGAAACACTAGAAAAGTATGAGCCATAGTAGCAGGAAATATTGTTATCTACCTTATCCTTGTTTCAGTCTTTATTGTGATCAGATATAGTGAACAACTAGTTTGACCTGTACTCTTGTGCTTTCATCTTAAGATAAGTCCAGGTTATATCAGGCCAAAGCATAATTTATCTGGTTTGTACAACTGCTGGAGGGCAAACCGGTAGAGCACCTGCATAACAACTTTCTTTCTTAAGAGGCCTATTGTCTAATCTGTCAGCCATCTCAACAGATCACCTTCTTTTTGACATAACTGGGAAACTAGTTCTGTAAATGAGTGTACTGATACTGGAGGAACCATGCCTCAATGCTCATGTGGTCCTGTTTAAAACGCAGACCTGAATCATTTGGATTCCAATTCTGTACAGGTTGTGTCCCTGCAAGTCTCCAGCCACTGAATGAGGAATAAAGATGTTTCAAAAATGTCATTAAAACAACCACCTATAAAATAATAGACTTTTTTCTAAGCACTTCAAAAACTGTTCATATTTAAGAGAGAACCACATTTCTTGCTAAACTTTCAAGCTTAAAAAAAATAAGAAGGGTGTAGGTGTTTATCGTGCCTAGAGATTCTCACATTATTTTTGTACTTAAAGAATTAATGCAGTGGTTTAATGCACTGAATATAACTAGTCAACATTTAATCATGATATTGCTTATTACAGCCTTACTCCTGAAACGCTTAAACTGCCATGAATTAAAATGGAAAGTCATATTCTAAGAAGAATAGTGCAAAATGCTGTTGGATTAATATTGTAGCATTTTTCAAGTCCTGTGATACCATAAATCTCAAAATTCCAGTATAAGGATTGACCAAGAAAATGGCCTTGACAAGGAAGATAACAGCCAACTAGGGAATTAAAGAAGGTAAGTGAAAAGTAAAACATTGTAATAATTCCTATTCGTGTTTATTCAGCAGTGAATAAAATTATTATCCATTACAAGAGTGTCCAATGGAAAGATCGAATTCTGCAAGACTGAACAGAGTAGAAGCTGCAACCTCCATCCACATACAAAAGGAGCAGGTTCTTGGATCACAATGCCGCATCCACCATCTTGCAGATTTTCACACATACACATACACACCTTCTGTGGATACCTAGGACCCATATGCATTATTTTCAGGTAAGTATGTATATAATTATGAATTTTATATATACATATATAGAGCACAGAGCAACCACAAAATAACAATAATTAAAACAATTATGTTTCTTTTCTTTTTGTTGTTCAAATGACATGAGAGAGTCATCCTGGAAAGCATCTCCACCTCTTGCTTCTAACCCAGGGATGAGCTGCTGGGGTTCGCAGGGGTTCAGGAGAGCCCCTAGCTAAGATTCTGTGCAGTTCAGAGAACCCCCAAATCCCACTCCTGGCTGGGCCCACCCACCCCTCCCAGGAGTCCCCACATGGCCCATTTTGGATGCAGGTAAGTGCAAGACATGTGTGGAGGCTCAGGGAGGGTGAAAAACAGGCCTCCTGGAAGTTAGGGAAGGCCAGAAATGGTCCCATTTCCAGCTTCCAGGGAGCCTCCAGAGCCCAAAGAGGCCCTTTTCGCCCTCCCAGAGGCTCAAGGAAAACCTCCAGAGCCCGGGGAAGGCAAAAATGCCGCCCGTGGTACATGAGGCTGACTAGGCCACACCCACCATGACCATGCCTACCCAGCAACCAGGCAGAGAGCCCTTTGCTAAAAAATTTGAAGCCCACCCCTGTTCTGACCTCTATCTTTTAGTGTAAGTGAGAAAATTATTAAAACTTTGGAAATAACCACACTCAAATTGAAAACTGAGTAATTGTTCATGACATTAGCATTTCATTAACTCAAATCTAGTTTTTGTTCTTCCTAGTCCAGCCTGAGTATATCACTCAAAGGCAAATGTAGCCTGAATGCCTCTGAATTGGTCCTGTTTGCCTTTCACCATACCACCATGGGGCTCATCCACAATCTGTCACCCATTGAGTTAATGGCCTCTGTGTTTAATAGCCTCTGTTCATTTAATAAAACAGAACAAAGGGAAAACAAAAAAAAAATCACAGAAGAAGGGAAGGAAAAAAAAGCAACTGAGAAAAAGAGGGGGGGACGACAAAAGTTCAAAAACTAGATTTCATTTAATATATATGTTATTTTACACAACAGTCTCAATAAAGATTAGTTATATTTCATAACTATATTTCATCAAAATCATATTTCCGTAATCTATGTCTATAAGCAACTCAATTGTAAATTGCAAATAGCATTAGGTGTTCACTCCACTGAGTAACTGAACCCATAAATTTATTTTTCCACCGTTGAAGGACTAGTCTCTTAGCAGTAAGAAGTCATGGAGAATCCATTTCCTGAAACGTCTGTTACACATAAGGGGTGGGTGGGGAATTAGATTCCCTTCATCCCAGTCCTGGTTAATTTTAGACGTAACATGTCTATAAGAAGTATCATCCAGGAACTCTTCTTTCCAGCTTCCTGATTAGCAAACTGGAAGAGAGTTTCCCTGTCTACAATATGGGAACAGAATAATCAATCTGTGTAGCACATAGTATTCTTTTCAAGACCTAGACATTGTTTTCAAGACCTAAACTATTGTACATCCAAAAATATTTTAAATACTAAAATGACTGACATTTCACAAGATTGCATGAGATTTTGGCTACACAAACCTTCAAACCTTGCAGAAACGTTTTTGCATGAAATCTTACATTCAATGTTCTCTTAAGATTTTTAGTAATTTTCTTTTTTTTTAATCCAACTAATTTTATGATTTTTGCAAGAATTGGCTATGGGTGTTACAAGCACTCTGGTCTGGTGCCAGAATCCACCACACCAGAGGCCCTTCACATGGCTTTGATAAACTAAATGGATCAATGGTCTACACTTGGTATATGCTATTTCACTCCATATACCTATAAATGTATTTGATTAAATGTAGCCCCATGTGGTTGGAGTTTTTGTCTGAATGCAAAACCTAGAAAGCATCAGGTTAGGTTAGACCAGGAGTCTCCAAACTTGGCAACTTGAAGACTTGTGGGCTATGCTGGCTGCAGAATTCTCAGAGTTGAAGTCCACAAGTCTTAAAGTTGCCACATTTGGGGACCTCTGGGTTAGACTAATGTGACACTTCTAGAATGACTAGCCTGAGGATTTGGGCTGAACTCAATTAAAGCTAAATATCTAAAATTTCTAAAGGTATTTTTTCCCATATTGGAAGTCTAATGGGTCAGGTATTTCCCTATTTTTTTTTAAAAAAAAATTCCTTTTTCATGATGTCTGAATTTTATATTTTAAAAAGTCTTCAAGGGTATTGTAAAACTGAGACATACCATGGAAAATAATACTGCAGATGATTGATTATGAAAATGGGAAACACAATATGACCACATGCCAAAAATAAAAAGAGAGAGAGAGAGAACAGACAACGTAGCTCGGTTTCCATTTTAAACAAATAGACCTTGGAACAATCAGGAAACTGCCAAGGTAAATTAATTCAGCATGGACACAGCACCAACAAAATGAGGCAGATTCAGTGATGGGCCACTATGATGCTGTTACAATGACAGTGATGAAAGATACTGTTCTGTTGTTTTTTTTCTTCAGCCTGGGCAGATTTTGTTCTTCTAACTTTACATCAAATCCAGCAAGTTCAGTGGCAGACGTTTGGCACTTAAAACTAGAATCCAAAACTGGCCTCTGGAATATACAAACCACTCAGAGTATCCTTTCTTCTTGAGGATTTGACACATGATTGACTGCTCCTGATCGTCTCTTCACCTCTCATTATGAAGATAAACAGAAAAGAAAAGGATTCATTCAACCAAGAAGAGAAACTGTGACAGATACAAAACTAAGCCATTGTCCATCAAAATGTAACAGGCTCCAAGGTCATGTCACAAGCTGTGCTATTTAAACTCTTTCCAATCTGCCATCTGCAGGATTGAAATTAGACCACAGAAAACAGGCCAAACCTGTCTCACTGCAAGTCTTTAAATACAATCAGGATAAAATGATTTGGTACATTTGGTTCATCATCAACCAGTTGGGGGTGTAGCACAGGACCTAGAATACATCACTCTGTAATTTAGTATATCCTACTAAGCCATGGTTTATTGATCCAAAGTTCCTGGAGTAAACAACAAGGGTTGGATTCACACAATATGCTAAATCAAACAGGACAACCCATAGCATAGAATTTTTTTTTGATGATGTTAAGGTTAGTATGATTGATAATACTTCAGACACTTTTTTTCATAAATGTCATAAATAAACTTTCAGGGAAGATTGATATCAGGATAATCCAGATAATGAGAAGAAGATCCAGAAGTCCTAGTTCTAAATTTATTGTAACGTTACATTAACAGAATCTTGGAAATCGGAAAGTACATCACTATCCCCTCACCTTTTCAGATTAAGAAACTAGGGAGGGTCCCTTCAGAGACATTCCTTATGTGGCTGTTGCCTCTTATCTGATCATAGTCTAAGCCCAGGGGTCTCCAACCTTGGCAACTTTAAGCCTAGCAGACTTCAACTCCCAGAATTCCCCAGCCAAGTTTGCTGGCTGGGGAATTCCGGGAGTTGAAATCCACCAGGCTTAAAGTCGCCCCTGGTCTAGTCTGCAGCCTTTTCTCCTACCTCTCTGACTCATTCCCACATACCATTACACCTCTTATTATATACATTCAAGATATGACCCTGTACATGACCATGTAGATGATTTGATAAAGATTAATCATGGTTACAATTTTCTAGCTACAAATACATTTTAAAAATCCATACCTCTGTCCAGATGAAAACAGGATACATTGCCACAAGAAAGGTATCAGTGAATTTGACTTCCAATATTCAGATGATAGATACGAAAGAGGAAAAATGGGAAAATAAATCAGTTTGGTCTAGTGGTTAAGGTACCAGGCTAGAAACCAAGAGACCTTGAATTCTAGTGTCATCTTAACCCTCTTCTTCATCAATCATTCCCTCTCAGCCCAACTCACAAGTTTGTTGTTTGTTGTCATGGGGAAAATAGGAGAAAAGTATGTTGGATATGTTTGCTACCTTGAGTTATTTGTAAAAATAATTAATGCAAAATATAAATAAATGAAAATAAATTCTAAGGATGCAAATTAGTAAAGAGGGTTATCAAATAAGTGGGCCAGTACTTTATCTTGCTTTTATTATGCTAAAAGCTGTATAAGTGTAGAAGCTTAAATTCATCATAACTCAGTTGAAGCATAGAAAACCACTGGAAGGGATGACTTTCTGCACCTTGCTCCACAGTATAGCAAGAATGTGCTTAAGAGATGGGATTGTAAATTTAATTGGTAGGCTTGTGCATTGCCAAACATTAGAACAGTGCAAAATCAAAGTCTTCTAGATCCTTACATCTAAATCAAATCTAGCATTTTACATTTAAATCAAAACAGCTCTAAAGGAAGAGAAAAGATGTGTGCCAAACTTTAGGAAAAAACAAATGATTATTAGATGGAAGCAAAATCAAGATCACAAAGCTACGTCAAACTGTGCAACAAATACATGTAACAGTTCTATAGGGCATTACTTTTCTTGATAAGATTCTATTAGATAAGATTCTTAGGAACAGCCTACCTACCAAAAAAGAAGTGGAAGGATCCAGCATCAACTACATCAACCTCTATTTCCATTGTGTTCCTACCATAAACACATTTAAGATAAGTGTCAGATTTTATGACTGAAGCCAGTCTCAAAATCCTCTTAATATATTTGCATATCTATCTCTGTCTTTATATGTTTTCTATACAGAGAAAGATACCTTCAAAGACTTTAAGCAGTTTTCAATAAATAAAAGGTAATAAAATTATTCCCAACTATCAAATGATCACACTAAGTAAAATGAGGAAGAGGAAGAAGAAAAGGAAGAGGATGGGGAAGAAGGAGAAGAAGCCTTCACTAACTAATACAGGAGCCAGCAGCCTATTACTGAATCTGCTCACCCCTCAGAGTAACTAAATGAGCTGCTGCCTTTTGGACTTAATATACAATCATCTTTAGAGGTAGCCTCAAGTAGAGTGTGTTGCGGCAGGACAAATATGGTGATGAGGGTTTAGGGTTATCCTAACTCTAACCTTTTTCTTAACTACAGAATTTGTAGAAGCACATCATCAAAATTTAATGACAAAATAAATATCCAACATCAGTAATATCACTTTAAACAGCAAAGCAAACAAACCAGTGATACCAGGACATCATTTTAAAGTAGACAAATTGATCCTGCCCATTTATCTAAAGTTATTCAGCCTTAACCTTTGAAAACAAAGTTTTTAAAAATAACTTGTGGTCATCAAAATATTGTCTGCTTCTGGTTTAAACCCATCATTCATCAGTCAAGTTTAAAATAGCTAATAAATAAAGAATGATAAAGAATAAATTAATGAACAATAAAGAATTAACAATAAAGAATTTTAACAATAAAATTTCAGAATAGCCATATTACAAATAAAGCTGTATAAGCAGACATTTCCTAAATTGAGAAAATTATAATTAGAGGGGTTTTTTTCATGTTACAAAATACAATATTACATGTTACAAAATACAAGGAATGAAGGTATCACTGGCTAAAATATTTCTGGTGTACAATGAAGATATGAAGAAACATAATTGAGTCTACATCCACATTTTTCACTCCTGACTTTTCTACATTCATAAGATTGTTAATGTAAATGTAGGCTATTTTGCAAATAATCCAATAAATGGCAGGGATTAATGGGCCATTTCTGACTCTATCACTCCCATTTCTGGGCTGGGATCTGAGTGAAAACTGAGATTAAAATGATTTGATGTTTCTTTGATAATTTTAGCCTGTCAAGAAATCATAATTTCCACTAGACAAGAAAACAAAAGATGAAGCACCTTTAAAGACTAGAATTTGCCATTCTGTAACAGTAGTAGGCAAAAATTAACACTAGATCTTTTAAAGAGTTATAATCTATGGATTTGGGGCATGGTATTTTCTTGACACTAGTGGACAGCTGGAAAAATACAGGGGCTATTATTTATTTATTTGTTCAATTTCTCATGGTGTTTTGGGGGGTATTAACTTCAGATTTCCTTTCATTCCTAAAATGCCAATACTTTTATTATATGCCTAATATCTTAATTTTCTTAATTAAGTTTCAGTAAGCTGATCTGAAAATATGGCTGTTTCATTTATTTGGATCATTCCATGAATACCTATTTTATAGTTTCCTTCATATTATTCTTTGGAGTGCTGAACTCCCATTCATTTTCCAATGCTACACAACAGATGGACTTGACTTTGGCAAGAAATGATGTCAAGGATTCATCCACCAGTAGCTGAAGCCAATAACTTCCTTTGTTCCTTGGCATGCAAAATATTGGGTTTCACGTGGAAATAAGGAAAATGCTTTTATATTCATTTGTGTGAAATACAATATATTTGCTCAATAAGCCTAGGCCTCCATATTAATCATAAATCAATTATATTTATCCTTAACCTCAGAAGCACTGCGTTTCTCCTCCTTTCTTCAGTATGAAATCCAATAGTTTTTTTTACAGCAATTATATTGACTTTCATACAAATGGTAAGCTCATATTGTAGTCATGAGTACTGTAGCCAATTCATTTGATATGACTCCAGCATTTATTTGCAGTCAGAATTATTCCTTTCTCCAGCTTGATATTGATCTTTTGTCATTATTATTAACTGAATATATCCTTTTCTTTTTTACTATGAATTTTATGCAGCATATAAAAACTACACAAATATTTCATATTGAATAAAGGGGGCTATAAGATAGTGGAGGAAAAAGCCTAGCTCCTGATTACATTGAGATCTGGAGGCCATGTTGATCACGATAACAGTAGGAAATAACAGGAATTCATTTACCATAAGAAATACTGAGACAACAGGGGCTTCGAAGAGCCCTGAAGCTGCCTTAGGGCTTCAGATCAAGTTCATTTCAAGTCTGTAATATATGCACAGGGATCAAGATTATTGACAGATGCTACCAGACGTTTCTCCAGGAACTTGAAGTCCTAGTTTGTGTTTGAGATTTAGGGTGCCATTTCTGGGAGAAGGCCCAGAGAAATGTCTTCTCTGCAAGCATTGCACTCGAAAACTGAGTAAAATGAAATAGAATTATCATAAACCCTAAAATAGCTGAACATAAATTTCTGCCTTTAAAAAAAAGTTCATTTCCACATTTAATCCAATTCTCTAAAATAATGGCAACATTCTCATTTATCAACCAGTCAGAAAAAATAAATAAACTTGCTAATGTTTTGAATGGCTATTATTTTTTATTTAAAACATAATATAGCTTTATTCCAAACAGTTTCATAGACAGGATTAAAATTGGTGGCAGTTAACATTTGCTAAAGAAATCTGACAATGCGTACAAAATTCTGGGGGTCCACATCAACATTGCATCAGAACTACATTTTTATTCTTCAGTGGCAATTTTCTTAGGTTATTTGAATTCCAACTCTTGGTTTCCACAAAAATCGAAAGCATTAAAGCTGGAAAAGCTGGCTGCAGCTTGCAATTTGGAAATGAGACAAGATGTCTAGACATAATTCTTTTCAACGTTGAGCAGACATTTTGATTGTAACGCAACACTCAGTTCCTATCACTCATTCAGCTCTTTGTTGTTTTCTTTTTTGGTAGATTATAACCAATAATTTTTCAGCTGGCTTTCACATGATTCCTGCAGCTTTAATACCCATGAAATATCTCTCCACAAATGCTATGAAAAGGAGTGTGATGAAATTACTCTGCAGTGTGGGTCAGGTGCATTTAAATCTAATTAGATTAAAATAAATTAAAATGTATTAATTCAGATTTAAAATTAAATTAAAACAAATGCACTTTTAATATTAAGTAATAGCCTTCAAGAATTAGTGGCGACAAACAGATTATCATAGCAATAGCACTTAGACTTCTATATTATTTCATAGTGGTATAGCTCTCTCTAAGCGCCTTACAGAGTCACAGCACATTGTCCCCAACAATCTGGGTCTCTGTTTTACCAATCTCAGAAGGATGGAAGGCTGAGTCAATCTTGAGGTGGTGAGGATTGAACCCCTGGCTGTCAGCAGAATTAGCCTGCAATACTGCATTCTAACCGATGCACCACCATGGCTCCTAACCTATTACCATTAAATATCATTAATATTATAACCTAGTCTTCTCTATCCCGAGCCCTCCAGATGCACTGAGAGGACCAGCTGAGTTGAGGATTCTTAAACCTGTGGTTCCAAAACATCTGGAAGGCACTAAAATGTGGAGACATGGCTTCCAACCACTTGAGTTGGATTCCTGAGGCTTTTATGGAATGAAGTCTGGATTTAAGTCCCCAAAAGAGTATCTTTGTCCATTCATTTGAAACTGTTAATTTGAAAAGCAGAACCTCTTTCAGGTTTGAAAAAAGAAAAAGATTTCCTTCAGATGCAAACATTATTGATTGTCTGCCTGTCAATCTAGCAATCTATGATTCAGGCAAGTGGCAGCTAAAACAGTAATTCTTCTAAAGGCCCATTTTAATCAGATGTTTCCTTTAATTCTATTTTAGTGTATATTCCTTCTTGATTAACTTTTTAAAAAATCACAAGACAATTCACACTGATGTAGCCGTAATTTTAAAAAATTATATCACGCATAAAAAACCTAACATATGCAGGATGTTGAGATAACAATGATTACCTCTATAAAGCTACCAGGCTGAGCTGCTATCTCAGTTTCCATAGAGAAACATTGCCACCTGGTGGTCACATCTATGTATTTCAGAAGACTGCTCCACAGCTGTCTAAAATGGCAAGAAAACTTGCAGGAATGTGTAATTATGGTTTTGGAACACAGACTGTAAAACTGAAAAAAATAATTTCACAAAGTGCTTCAAACATGTTTAAAGGATGACCTTAAAAACATAATGTTATCTGAGGTCAACATCTTTCCCACAATCGTGTAAGTTTTCTAAATGATTGTGTGCTATCAATTTGACTGATTGAAATCAAACAAAATAGACACTGCTCAGATTTTTTTAAAAAAATTTAATTTATTTATTTTTGTCAAGCAAGTATTAGATAACAGGTATAAGTATAAACATAGTTATAAATACATGAAATGGATACGAATAAAAAAACATTAGGACAGGGACAGTAGCCCATTGGTGCGCTTATGCAGGCCCTGTACAGACCTCTTAGGAAAGGGGTGAGGTTAATAATAAACAGTCTAAGGTTAAAGTTTTTGGGATTGAGGGAAGAAACTACAGAGTCAGGTAGAGTATTTCAGACATTGACCACTCTGTTGCTGAAGTCGTATTTCCTGCAGTCAAGTTTGGTGTGGTTTACCTTGAGTTTGTATCTATTGTGTGCTCTTGTATTGTTGTGGTTGAAGCTGAACTATTCATTGACAGGTAGGACATTGCAATAGATAATTTTATGTACTACACTTAGGTCAGACCAAAAGTGGTGTAGTTCTAGGTTGTCTAGGTCTAAAATTTCAAGTCTGGTGGAATAAGGTATTCTGCTACGAGTAAAGGAGTGGAGAACTCTTCTCCTGAAATATTTCTGGACTTTCTCGACTGCATTAATATATGATATATAGTGTGGGTTCTAGACTGATGAGCTATATTCAAATATTGGTCTGGCAAATGTTTCGTATGCTCTCGTTAGTAGTGTGATATTACCAGAGAAAAAACTACGTAGGATTAGGTTAACAACTCTTAATGCCTTTTTGGCCATGTAGTTACAGTGGGTTCTAGCACTTAAATCATTAGAGATGAGTACTCCAAGGTCCTTGACATAGTGGGGGGTCATCAACAAGGTCTTGATTATTCAGCTTGTATTTTATTTTCTGATTTATTTTGCCAATATGTAAGACAGAGCATTTGTTTGTTGAGATTTGAAGTTGCCACTTGTTTGACCATTCTGACATATACTTGAAGTCATTTTGAAGGGTAGCAGTATTGTCAGTGGTGTTGAATAGCTTTACATCATCAGCAAAAAGAATGCTCTTAATATGATTACAGAGGTCATTTATGTAGAGTATAAAGAGAGTTGGCCCTAGAATGCTGCCTTGGGGACACCACTGTTGACAGGTACAGGATTTGATAGGGCGCTCCCTATTTTGACCATTTGTTGCTTGTTTGATAGGAATGCAGCTATCCAGTTATACAGGTGTCCGGAGATACCATAAGATTTTAGTTTTAGAAGTAGTTTGTCGTGTACCACTGAATCAAAGGCTTTACAGAAGTCTATGTAAATAGTGTCTATTGCTTTGCCCTGATTGAGTTGTGTAGTCCATATGTTTTTGTAGTGTAGGACTTGCAGATTACAGGATAGTTTTTTTCTGAAACCAAATTGTTTGTTAGAGAGTAGGTTGTTCCTAATTGAAAAGGTACATACATCCTCCTTCTTCCATATCTTGCCATCTATGGGCTTCCATTTCCATGATCTCTGATTCATATGTTGGCTAGATTTTATATGAGTTAAAAATTGGAAAATCAGTTTTTCATTGGCAGGGATTGGGGTTTAAGCCTGTGTGTAAATCCAATGCATTAGACAGAAGGATAAAACAAAGGGTTCTTTCACCTATGATCTCTTTCTATCCATAAAAGTATTCAAAAATTAGTTTTATGAATAAATGAATAGTATATTCATGTATGTATGTGTGTGTGTATATGCATGCACACACACACACAAAAATATATAGTACATACAGTTTTGAAAGATGAATGCTAGTAGCTTATTAAAGCTGTAGTTTTAAATTCACATAGCTGAAATGGGCCACTGGAGTAATACTAAATGTAACAATTTTTTACACAAAAATTGCTAATTGGTTTCATTTACATATATTGTGCATCACCATTCTGAACCATATTTGTTTCAGCTAATTCCAGATACTGAGCCTTCTAATAGCACTTCAACATGTGATTCCAAATTTAACAAACTACTTTTGGAATGGTTTAACATTGTTCTTTTTCTAAGGGAACAGTTGATTTATGAAGAAAAC